GATAAAGATACCTTCGCCCATACCCAGCAGGAAGCAATTTCAAGAATACGACGCCCACGTTCCCAAAGAGGTGGTGTGGGGCAGTTGTTTTTTTTTTGGTCCTTTAATGGGTTTTGGGTCTGGGATAATTTTCATTGATTAGGGGTTTGGTTACAAGTTGTTGTCAAGGGTTAGGAAAAAGGCTAAGCAAAGGAGATTAGATTTAAGGTTCTTATTAAAAAAAAAGAAAGAAAAGAAAAATGTAAATACTTTACATTGGATTGGATTGTTTTATATTGTATACAAATTATATATATTGAAATTGATATTGTTAGAAAATGTTATATATATTTTTCTAATTGTACCGTTCATCTAACAATGTAATGCAATTTTCTGATCCTTGAATGTTATTACCAACTATTAGGATATAAAGAAATGAAAGTTAGTAGTTAGATATTATAATAGAACTTGTAGTTATATTAGGTATGTTTTCAAGATTGAGTAGATATATTTTAGATAGACAGGTTATCTTCAAACCCTTCAGAGATCTACAGAATATGGCATTTAAAATGTTTTAATAACTTAGAAAATTTTTCTTTTTTGTTATGACTATGAGACATGTCGGCTCCTGGCAGTACCAATCTACTTCAGAGAAAATATGGGCATTGAAGAAACTGCATATGGAGTTAACTTTCATTGTGGCAAAAGTTAGCCACTGGACAACAAAGTATCCTCGAATCAACAGGATAAAATGGACAGACAGGACATAAAACAAAGGATTACTGATTCTTGCCAAAACAAGTGTGGTTATGGCTTTATCAAAAGGCATCTTCAGAGGCCAGGACAATATGGCACCATCCCTGAAGTGGCCTTCGCAATTCGAAAAAGGTACAGTGCCCTTTTCTTCGAAGGCAGCTGAACAGGCAGTGGGCCGATGGCCTCTGATGTGCAATGGAACAGCAGCTGAAACAGTTATTCTTGAAGAGTAACTAAACTCACGCCTCTCAATAGTAGACTGGCATTTGATAGAGGGATATGGAGAAGAATGGGATGCTGAGATGAAGCCATATATACACAGCCAAGAAGAATGGACAGCTGAATTAAAAAACCATCAATAATTTCCAGAATTTAAAATCCTGAATCATGACATGACACTAGTGGAATTCAGGTGTTTCTGGTACATGGACTACTCTCACTCAATGTGAGGTTGAACTGTTGACCTTGTGTACATCCTACTTCACAAATGAGTCTGTCAGATATGCTAAGCCTATAGGCTGAAGATGATGCCCCAGCACTTCGGAGAAACCTCAGGTGACTGTCCAGACAGCTGTCTGTTTTTGTCAACTCACAAATTTTTTGGAAGTTGCTTATGTGCACTTCCTGTTTTTATTTTTGTTAGCTAATATTATTTCCTTCTTGGGTCTCTGAGGGAGTTGAAGATTAGTTAGTTATAGTTGAAGGTTAGTTATAGTTGAAGATTAATTAGGATACATTTTGGACTTACCAAAATAGGATAGATAATGAAATTATTTTCTCTGAATTTGTCAAATACAAATGGACTAGACATTGTTTAGGTATTTATTACTTGTATATATTGTATATAGTTATTGTACTTTTGTATATAGTTTTTCTTATATTAGTTATAAGCTTTTTCTTTTTTTTCCTTTTTATTAAAATAGAAAAGGGGAAATATGGTGATATTTTATTTGTATTAAAATATTATTTGTATGTTAATAAATAAAGTTGCCCGGGGGTCAGAGCTATTAGCAAGCCATAGGAAAGCAGGGCAGTGGTAGCGTACGCTTGTAATTCCAGCACTTGGTAGGCAGAGCTGGGTAAGTCTCTGTGTGTTCAGGGATACAGCCATTATTGGATACACATGCCTTTAATCTTAATACCAATCATGGAAAACCTGGAGGCCTATACAGACAGGCTGTGAGGAGGCGGTCATGTGGTTGGGTTTACAACCAATGAGAAGGCAGGACAGGAACTCTATATAAAGACTTTAACACAGGGGTAGCTCTGGTTCAGAGAGGTAGGACCACCGCAGGAGGAAGGGTAAGGTTTTAGCTCTTAGCTCTGACCTCTTGGCTTTCTTTTTTGCATTGGTTCTGTGTTTCTTATTTAATAAGAAGGTTGGATACATCTACAGAACAGTGTCTCTCAACCCTTGTCTCATGATCCCTTTGGAGTCTCATATTAGGTATCCTGCATATGAGATATTTACATTATAATTTATAACAGTAGCAAGATTACCACTATGAAATAACAACAATTATATGAATGGGGATCACCGTAACATAAGGAACTGGATTAAAGGGTTACAACATCAGCAAGCTTGAAAACCACTGCCTTAGAGCATCCCATTCCTTTACCTCACATTTCATGCCCTGGCTTTTAAGGAGATTTCTTCAAGATGGAAGGATTTAATCTCAGAGGAAACTGAAACACAATACCCATTTCTGGGCATGAACTCCAAAGACTTGCCATTTTACCAATGAGCACTTGCCCATCAAGTTCATAGATGCTTTATTCACTGTATCTAGGAAATGGAATCAACCTAGATTTACATGAACTGAAACATGGGTGAATGAAGACATGATACTTATCTATATAACCCATAATATTATTCAGGTGTAAAGAAAAATTAAAGTGTGAAATATAGATATACATGTAAGAAAATGGAAAATATGGTGAGTTCAGATACCTAGGCTCCAAAAGGCAAATATCCCATGTTCTCTTACATCTGTGTGTCTAAGCTACAAACTTGGTTTTGTGTATTCAAGTAAGACTACATGTAGAAGCCAGGAATCTAGAAATAGACCATTAGTGGGGAGATGGAGGAAGAGAGGATAGATAGTAGACTACAGGTGATATGAAATTAGAGGGTGGGAATCCTAGGGGCAGGATGGCTCAAATTTGTAGTAGAGAGTGGGATGCTGAAAGATCAACTCAAATGAGATGTCTGTAAAGGAGCTACATGGGAACCTATCAAATTACATCCCAAGTTAAAAAAAATACAGTAAGAGAGGATAGCAGAAGATATTTTATAAGAGAATGGGGCATTGGATGATGTGTGCTAAATGTTTAACTGGGGATGGGGCAGGGAGAAGGGATGAAGAGTGGGTAGATCACTCAAGTAAAGATTTATGAAGAAGCCTCATGAAACTTTGAACACAGGTATCCTACATGGGAAAATAATGCTGCTCCCAGTCACCAGAACCATTTAATGGAACTCTCTGTACCAGGTACTAGTTATCTGCCTGGGACTCACTTGTTAGGGAGGCTGCACTGTCACCCTAAACAAAACCGGTCATTCCCAGTACTGAAGACACCAAACACTTTGCCTGCAAGATATTGAACTTACCAGGCAATTCTCCCTGCTGGCTAGCTTTTCTAGCACTGTAAGGTCCTGTGCAGGCTGTTGGCAGAGAAATTATGTCAATGGTCTTACTTTCCCCGGGGCCATGCATCTTACAATACCAACCTGCTAGTGAACATGTGTGTATTGGTGCAAAACTGGCACCACTGTTTATAGACATAAACAAGCTCTCTCTAGATTAGATTTCAAGACTGCATCACAGAGAGGAATTCATGCCATGGTTAAAAAAGAATGACTTGGGAAGTATAAGTTATAGGGTAGAACCTATTGATGTTTTGACAATGATCATGAGCGTTAATTCACCATCTAAATATTCATGTTTAAAAGTATCACTTTGTACTACTCTACTGTTGGTGAAAGAAGTCTCCTCTTGCAGGAGGTAGTTGGTAATGCATAGACTCAACTCTTCAAAAACTACTAAGAACAAGCAACTGTGTAAGATGGTATAACTACTGTTTCATCATAGCTGAGGGTGAGTCCTAAGTCTCCTTTCCCTCAGTGAAGGTGAACTGGCAGTTACTGGGAGCTATATGATCTTATTATCGAGTTTCAAGTAAATTCTTCCCAATTTTTCTTAAGTATTTCAAAGTGAATTCCTGCATGCTCTTGGGGATTTCTTTGTTTTTCTTATTGTTTTGGTTTTTCAAGACAGTTTCCCTGTGTAGCCCTGGATGACATGGAATTTGCAATGTAGACAATGCTGGCCTTGAACTCACAGGGATACACCTTCTTCAGCCTCCAGTTAGTTGGGATTAAAGGTGTGTGTCACATCCTTAGCCTTTGGGAATTTTTTTTTCAGTTTTCTTTACTAAAAATTTTCTACTCACTCTACATAGCCCCCACAAATCCCACCTCCTCCCTCCTCATACCCCCCACATCTGGGGATTTCTAAGTTGTATGTCAGCATTGCCGTGATGTCACCATCACAGCCTATCTCTTCACAGTTACTTTCTTGCTATTTGTATGGTTTGACTCTAGCAGGAAGACTTTGAAGGTGAATAAAAGAATTTATCAGTGTTTTCTTTGATGAATTTTCTTTTATCTCTGCAATTTCAGCACTATCTAAAGGGTTTGTCAAATTCAATGCATTTGGAGAGGTGTAATCTCCAATGGACAGAAAGACATGGGGAGTATACACTCCCTACCATTGTGCAGCACAATTAGAGAGAAAACTAAAGGTTTTGTCATATTTTTTATGTGATTCTATTAGGATTTATTTTGTTTTTGACGAAGAGTTTATGTCGTCTTGTCTGTCCTGGAACTCAGTATGGAGATGATGATGTCCTCCAATTCACAGACATCTTGTCTCTGCATCCTGAGTGCTGGGAATAAAGGAGTGCACCGCCACACCTGGTATTATTATGAATTTTTGGATATTGAACAAGATGTTCTTATTACAATTTAATTCAGGGGCTGGAGACATACCTTATTGTGTAAGAGCACTGGTTGTCCTTCCAGAAGACCAGTGTTCAATTACCAACATAGGCACAGCAGTTCACATTGGTCTGTAAGTACACATTCAGGGGATCTGATGACCCCTTCTGTCCTCCACCTGCACCAGGAATACATGTAATTCACAGACACACTTGCAGGCAAAGCACACATACACATTAAAAGAAATAAAAAGCTTTTCCCACTGTTACATTTGCAGAATTTTATTTAAATATAAACTCTAGGATATTTTTTAAAATGTAAACCTTCATTAAAAACCTTTACAAGTTTCTGATCTTTATGTATCCATTTTGTGTACTGTTGTAATTCGAAAGCAGAGAATACTGGGAAAATGCTATGACACATTATTTACAATGGTATGTTTCTCTCCAGTATGAATTTTCTGATGTGCTAAGAGGTAGGAGCACCTTGTAAAAGATTTGTGACATTCTTTACAACTATAAGGTCTCTCTCCAGTATGAACTCTCTGATGCCTTCTAAGGGTTGATTCCTGGGTAAAGGATTTGTCACATTCCATACATTTGTAAGGTTTCTCCCCAGTATGAACTCTCTGATGTGTCCTAAGACGTGAGGCCTGGATAAAGGACTTGTCACATTCCTTACATTTGTAGAGTTTCTCTCCAGTATGAATTTTCTGATGATTTCTAAGGGTTGAGTTCAAGGGAAAGGATTTGTCACATAACTCACATTTGTAAGGACTATCTCTAGTATGAACTCGCTGATGTGTTCTAAGACTTGCAATATGGATAAAGGATATGTCACAGTCTTTGCATTTGTAAAGTTTCTCTCCAGTATGAGTTTTCTGATGTGCTCTAAGATACGAGCAGCTAGTATAAGACTTGTCACATTTCTTGCATCTGTAAAGTTTCCCTCCAGTGTGAACACTCTGATGTCTTCTAAGGGTTGAGTCCCGGGTAAAGGATTTGTCACATTCCTTACATTTGTAAGGTTTCTCCCCAGTATGAATTTCCTGATGTCTTCTAAGGGTTGACTTCAAGGTAAAGGATTTGTCACATACCCCACATTTGTAAGGTCTCTCTCCAGTATGAAGTCTCTGATGGATTTCAAGACCTGAAGGCTGGGTAAAGGATTTTTCACAAACGATGCATTTATAGGGTTTAAATCCAGCATGAATTCTCTCATGTTCAGTGAGGTATGAGGCAGTCTTGAAGCATTTCCCGCATTTCCTACATTGGTGTGGAGCCTCTAAGATGTAGACTGCTTGTTGCAAAAGACTGTATAAAGAGGCAAAAGAGTCACCATTTTTTTCCTGCCTGTGCTCTTTCTTTGCAGTGTAGAGTCCCTGATCTTGAGTAATGATGGAACACACATTTAAAGATTTCTCACAGTCTTTAGTTTTCCAAAGTTCTTCTCCAGTGTGCATGCTTTCATGTCCATTTAGGTTTGATGAGTCAATAGAGGCATCCCTGTGGTTACCGCATGTGTGTTTATTAGAGTTTTCTGTAGTTTCAATTGCTTTATAAAGTGCACATGTGGAGGGGTCATGAAGCACTTTGCCAAGCTCATTACACTGACAAGACTCCTTTCCAGTCTTCACATGTTGATGGTCAGGATCACATTTGCAATAGTTCTCTGAAAATGAATACAATTTAGATTAATGGGGCTTGTTCCAAGACTGTCTCCCTAAGTTTTCTTTTAACATAAGGGAACATGGAACTCTTTAGATTAGAACTCCCAGTAACGGACATTTTTCATTCACTGTAACTGTATGGATACTCACAAAAACAGCATGACAGCCTTCAAAGGTCAATGATTTATAAAAGATATCTCATCTTTATCAAAAATCTCTAACTGGGAAAAAGATGGAAAAATAATTGACAGCTGAGAATTAGCTTTGGGATAGAGCTCACTGGGTGATTATATTTAGAATACATGTCACTATCATTAAATATTTCTTCTCAGAAATTGAAGAAGATGGCGTTAATCCAATCCCAGGTTCAAAGTATTTATACTTCCTAAGTGATAGGCAATGAAGAATATAGTTCAGAAGACCCAATTCCTTAAAGATTAAAGTCTTACTTAAAAGCATTACAAGGTTTATTTTTCTCTATAGAAAAAGACAGTAGATTCTTCAAAAGTAATGGATGCAAAGACTGTATTCTACCAGACATCAGAGGCTCTAGATCATTTGCGGCAGGGCTATCATGGGCAGCTATTGCTTATTTCTATCCTCCACTGTCTGAGCTCCACACCCTGCTGTGTTTCTTAGCTTTCCTCAAAGGGTTATTCTCAAGTCCACTCTGTACACTGACTTCTGAGATTATTTCCCAGAAGGGTGTATGTGTATTCTCCACTGGGAGAAAATGAAGGATGTAATATGAAGATATCCATAGGAAGGCAACTACAGCATAATCCTACTTCATGGATTCATGTTAAGACTTAAAATTTTGTGAAATCATTCCAATCTGATTTCAGCAGAGTTAAATAAAACTTCATTTTGTATTAGTATTAAGTCACCATCATTCAGGTGCATAAGACACAACGTCTTCTAACAGTTATTACAACAGACAGGATGCAATCTAGGGCAGGACGCTACCCTAAGTTAAATAATCAGGAATCCTTTCAAGTGGAATTGAATGTAGCAAAAACACCCTCAGCTCTTGCTTTCTCTTTCACTGGAAGCTGTCACTGTTGTCCTGCTCATTCACTAGCCCACCCTGCTTGTGCTTACTCTCCCCTCTCCACATTCCAGGGCAATCTCATTCTTTCAAGACAGGTGATCACGCCTCCCTTGCACACATAATCCACATGTTCTTTGAAGCACCCATGACCCATGCTAGAACTTTTATAGAGAATACAGAAGTCTAAAACAGTACTGCGCTCAGTACTGAAAACACAAAGCAGAGGAATGTAAGCAGGAATTCTCGATTGATATTTCTAGTCAAATTCATTATATTTAGTATTTTCAGTTTATGTATCTTGAATTTTTCTCTCAATTAAAATCATATCAACTGCAATAATGGACATGAAACTTAAAGATATGAGTGGGAATATTATCTGCTACTGAGTTTATAGATGGATCTTGGAACCAAAATGAAGGATGAATGATACCTTTGAAATGGAAAATGGAAAGAGAAAACTAAATAGCATGAAAAAGTTCTTTCCTAATACTAAACTTTGCCTTGTCTTCTGTTGTTTTTTTCAGGACAGCCTAACAGATTTTACGTCCTATGAAGTCAGAACAAACAAAAGATGGCTTAGGAATTCTACAAGCAAAATATTCTCACCCACAAAGACCAGGTTGCTGTAATTCTCCACCATCACATCAATGTACAAAGCCCTCTGAGCAGGTTCCAGGCATTCCCACTCTTCTTTTGAGAAGTTCACAGCTACATCCCTGAATGTCAACAGACTCTGAAACAAAAAAACTAGGGTTTGACTATGAGCTACCTGGAAGTGCTTTCCTGGATATAAGGAGATGGAATGTAGATGAGCGAAGAAAATTACTCAAAGTATGATTTCCAATACAGTCACATTCTATCATGAATGTTCTAACTCTGTGAAAATAGGATCAAACAATAGTCTTACAAGAAGAATACATGAAAGAAGGAATACATTTAAGGCCTGGACATGGTTATCTATCTGTTAGAGATGCTGAGTTCACGTTATACAGTATCACAGCAGACATGTCTCAGAAGTAAAATTCATGATGAGGAAATGTGCTTTAAATGCTGTAGCTGTAGATCATGCTAAAACACTGACACAAATCAATCCTGTGTGTACTTGGGGCTTACATGACTCTATTCTAACAGGCTCAGTTGGGATGTTTAAACTCTAGGTCCAATGCCACACCATTAAATAGCACAAAGAAGGTATGAAAAGCAGAATATATGACTGATTTTATAGGCAAAGAGTTTTGGTTTTTTTCCACAGTAGCAAGGATTGTAACAGCACTATATACTGTCAATCTTAACAGTAACATATAAGATAAGTAGTTTATTGAATTAATTTTATGAGAATATTTGGTCCGATATGAACAGACAGAAAAACCTGCATCAACCATATTTGGTATAATCCAAAATTTCCTAAGAGTATTCATAAGCCAACAGAGACAAACAACAATTCCAGAAGTTTTGAAGAATATTTCACTTCACTACCAAGAGTAATAAAAGTTGAGGGAAATCCAAAAACACACCAAAAAATGTTTAAGGTATAGCTAAGATAATCAGTATCAGTGACATTTTGGATAAGGCTCATAGCAAGAATTCACCAAAAATTAAATTAATTAAATACCAAGGAAATAGAACTGCAAACAAAAAATGGGCAAATGAACTAAATAGGCACTTTTCAAGGACAGAAACTCAAATGATTAATAAACATTGAAAAAGAGCTCAGGATCCCAAAAAGGCCACCATGGAAATGAAAATTAAAACTACTTGGAAATACTGTCTCACCTCAGGCAGAATAACTGTGAAAACTAACCTGACAAGAAATGTTTGTGGGGATATGGAGAGAAAGGAAGCCATATTCACTTTTGATGGAGGGGAGGTTACAAATTAATACAGCCATTGTGGAAATAAGTTTGGACATTCTTAAAAAAAAAATCAAAGAGAGAAATAACATATTCTCAGCTCTTTCACTCTTGGTCATAAACCCAGAGAACAACACACTTCACTACAGAGATATTTATAGCCCATGATTACTGCTGCTTTAATAACCAAAGGAAAAGCACTGGAATCAAACTAATTATCTACCAACAGATGAACGGATAATGAAAATTGTATAAGATGGAGGACAATTCAGCTCTAGAGAAAATTAAAATAACAATTTGCAGGAAAATGAAGGGACCCAAAATGTGTAATATTAAGTGTGGTCATATACTTTTAGAATGAAGGCACCACATTTTTGCTCATATGCTGAATCTACCCAATAATATATGTATATAGAAACAATGTATATGTGGACACAGTATAACACGAAGAAAAGAGAACAGGAAAGGTTAAATTATCAGGGACTACAGGTAATGAACATTGTGAAAAAGAATATAAAGCTAATTGCTTTTCTAGTTATAATTCTGTCAAAGGTTTTTAGGGTTTTGGTGCTGGGTAAGTAAATCAAAATATATTCAATTGTGAAAATATAAAATCCCACGCGAGGCTCCAGAGCTTCTTTTCTCTATAATGACTGTAAATGTATAAAAGTACATTGAGTTGTATAGTCTTTGGGTCTGCTTAATTTCAGTGTGTGATTTTGTTATTTGTCTCTTTGTAAAACTGCTCATAATAAAATTTCAGAAAATTATCAGAATCAGAAATTAAAGGCTTTTAATGCATCAAAGTATAATAGATTTAGATAAAGAGTGGAAACGACCACTGACCTTTGACATGTTTACTGGGGAATCAGCCACTTCTTACGGTTTCTCTTCTTTGAGTTTCTCTTTCAGGAACAATGAATAGATGGACACTTCCCTTTCAAATCAAGGGGTCAAAATGGAAGAGTGAAAATTAATACTGAAAGTTGTTAGAGAACAGTGTCAAACCACATGAAAAGACCCAAGCAACAGAATTCTACCAGGTGTCTAGTCAATGATATCAAAGCTGGAGATCATGGAAAGATTTGAAGCTTGAGGAGAAAATTACCATCAAACATCTTGCTGCACAAAGAAAACTACTCTGGAGTCATCTACACTACTCTCTTAAAATTGATAGACAATTAAGTGCATGTCAAGATAGTCAGCAATTAACACAATTGATTTCACTAAAGCAGCACTGCAGATAATAAATCAGAGGCAAAACATATATAGGAGAGTCAGAGGAATCATTCATGAGAACATGGGAAATAACCAATTTCATGAGAAGAATAGAGAAATACAGGAGAAGGGGAGGAATCATCCATGGGCAAGAGAGCAAACCACTATTTCTCAAAAAGAAGGAAGAAAATACTACCAAAAATCCAATGAGCAACAACATAAAAACAAAACCATAGGAAATAAAAACCGCCATTACCACACTGAAAATAAAAATGGAGACTCTTCAACTAAATAAACAAACCCTGAAGTGAAATAAATTCAGCACACAACCCAGCTGTTCCTTTCCTTCATATAAGCTCAAGGGACTTAACATCCTACTCCACAGATACTTGCTTACCCAAGTTCATTGCTGCTCTACTAACAATAGCTACAAAATGGAAACAACGTAAATATCCTTCAAATGACAATTGGATAGTGAAAGTTTGGTACATATATATTATGGAATACTATTCATGTAAAGAATATTGAAATAATGAGCTTTGCAGGTAAATGGATAGACTGAAAAAAGATCATTCTGAGTGAGTTAACCTAGACCCAGAAAGATAAACATTGCATGTTCTCTCATAGGAAGTTCTTAGTTCCAAATGTTCAGATGTGAGTACACAACCTGGAGTGACTGAAGTAGCCAGAAAAGTAAAATGAGATCACAGTGTGATGTCGGGGGAGTAATAGAGGTGGAGTAACAGGAAACAAGTGATCTGAAGGTTTACGTGGGAAGATGGGGTGAGGATTTAACTATGGAGAAGGGACAAATATGAACACAGAAGGAGGATAAAATAATAAGGATGTCTGTAAAATTCATAAAGAATCCATCTATTCCTTGACTCTTATCCATTCATCAAAAAAACTCCTATAATTCATCTAAGTCTCTGTAAGCATATACATTCAGAGTGTAAATGAAAATTTCCCAACTGGACTGATGATGCTCTGTGGTGATATTTTATTTGTGCTCTAACAAATAAAGCTTGGCTGAAAATCAGAGGGAGGAGCTAGCCACTAGTTAACCAGAGTTCTGGAGGTCTGTACAGACAGACAGGAAGTGACAGAGCTGGGTGGAGACAGAAAATGATAAAGTGGGTTAGAGAGAGGAGCTCACTGTCTTTAGGTGGAGAATTTGGTAGGGGTAAGAACTAGTGGCTTGCTGTTCTGCCTCTCTGATCTTTCAGCTTTGACCCCAATATCTGGCTCTGGTTTTTTATTAATAAGACTGTTTATCAACTTGTGTTACATCTGGCAACCCAGTGTTTGTGGTACGAATTCACTAAAAAGCTGCTTGTGGCCTTACAGGCCCCCAGATCAGACCGGAGTTGCACGCAGCCTGAGTCTCGACCCCACATGGGCCAGTCTCTTTAACTTCTTCTCTCCTGGTGGGTTGTGGGCTCTCTCTGGATCCCCAACTCAGACTGCTACCACACTAGGTAGTTGCATTGAAACTCACTCGGGCTTCTACTGCTCTATGCAGAAGCAGTCAGCCTCACATCTGAATCGTCAGTCGGCAAATTTGGTGAGTGAATTAAGATTTCTTAAAGGGAGGACTTAGTTAAAAGAGAAATTTTTTCCCCACATTAAAAACTGTGAAATATTTTTACAATGGAGGGAATCTGGTCTCTGTTTGATAATACAATTGATGGTCTGAAAATGTAACAATTAAATAAGAGGATAATTACTGTTGATGGGATTCACATAACGTCAATTATAAAAATTATTTGGTCATTTTTGTTTTATCATTAAAAAAGTTGGTTAATATGAGTGCCAAGATAAAAGTTTTAGAAAAACTTGTTAAAACAGATCACAGAGAAACTCAGACCCAGACAGAGGAATGTAAAGGTGAACCTATCTCAGCAATGCATTATACGGTTACAGAAAAACAGCCTAAGGCTTTCAAACAGTCAACCTTAATCTACCTGGTAACTTTACAGGAACTGCAAAATGCTCAAGGCTGTGTACGAGCTGACTGGACTCCTGTGCAAATGTTAGATTTGAGGAGATTCAAAGAAGCTATAGTGTGATATGGTATGCATTCTCCATTTGTGTAGTAAATGTTAAACTCATGGTCAACTTGTAACAGAATTATCCCTCAAGACTGGAGAGATTTGGTTACAGCTGTTCTGGAAGCTGGTCCACAGTTACAGTGGAGGACCTGGTGGAAATATGAGGCTAAGACTATTGAACAACAATGTAGAGCTAGAAGTATGAAAATTTCCCAAGATCAACTTCTTGGAGAAGGCGATTATGCTGATATACAAGACAATCTCTATATGATGACCACACCTTAATTTTATTCCAAATGGCAGCCTTGAATCCTTGGGACAGAACTGAAGAAGTAGGAAAGAAAAAATGTCCCAAGAAAAAGAGTAAATTGGCCTATTGATATATCATATATCTAACAGGAAAAAATTTCATAAGTCTTCCTAAATGTTTGTTTCTTCTGTTCTCTACAGACACATAATGCAAATTGCCTTTATATAGTCCCAGTTCAATTAAAAATTAAAGCTTGCTTTGGAGTTGGAGCATGGCTCTCTCCTTCTCTAAACCCAAGCATGCTTCTTAAAAGGAAATGTAAAATCTCTGTATCATGTCAGAAGAGCCACCTGATATGGGACAGAAGAAAAACCGAAAGTATGGGTCTATTCTATTGACACTAATCTTATAATTCTTTGGTTTTATTTTGACTCTTTAAAACTCTTTTTAGGGTATGAATTTTATATCAAAATTTATAAGATTTATATATATATATCATTATGTTAATTGTCATATAGAGTACTAACTAATTCTAGAAAAAAGGCTTCATCTAGCTTCTTGTACATGATTTTGTGTTTGAGTCTCTATCAGTTTTCTGCAGGGAACCATGACCACACCTAACAGCAACTTTGAAGTCTCCAAAAAGATAATGTGGCTCCACAACGATGATTCTATCAGGATGATAACACCACTAACTTGACAAACACCACCCAAAGATCACCTTTGGACTGCAAACTGCTCAGGACAATTTTGAGATAGCTAGCTGAGATGATCCAGCTTCAGAGACTATTTGAGCAAGGACTTGAGACAAGCTCTGTACTTTTGCATTATGCAGAGACTGAACAACAAATGATACAGCTAACTCTCCCAGGACTTGACAATTAACCCAAAAATTTTCTTTTCAGGATCCCCTAAAGATGCCATCACCCCCAGACAGCAGGAAGTAATTTTAAGAACAAGATGCCCATAATTTCCAAGAGGTGGGGTGGTGGTTTTCCGTCATTCAATGGGTTATGGATAATTGTCATTGTTTAGGATGGTTGGTTACAAGTTGATAATTGTCTGGGGGGAAAAAGCTAAACAAGGAGATTAGATTCAGGGTTCTTGTTTGAAAATTAAAAGAAAAATAAAAAGAGGATATAGATAAGAGGTAGATTATTGAATCAACTCCGAAAAAGACATAAAAGTGATAGAATAAAAGGTAGATTTTTGAATCTACTCTGAAAAGAAAAAAGAGATAATATAGATATGATAATATAAAAAGGTAGATTATTGAATCTTCTTTTAAAAGGCAATTACTAATTTTAAATATTTTACATTGGATTGGATTTTTGTATATTATATACAAATTATGTATACTGATACAAATCTGAGATTGATTTTGTTAGAAAATGCTGTACATATATTTGTAATTTTGTTCAAGGTATTGTACCAATATAGTTCATTTAACAATGTAATGCAATTTTCTAGTCCTTGAAAGTTATTACCAGCTTTGTAGGATAATAAAGAAAAGCAGGTTATTAGTTGGTCATTACAATTCAACTTGTAGTCATATTAGGTAGGTTTTCAAGGTCAAGTAGAAATATATTTTAGATAGGTCATCTTCAAACACTTCAGAGATCTACAGAATATGGCATTTAAGATTTTTAAAAAATATTTATTTATTTATTATGTAAACAGCATGTATGACTGCAGGCCAGAAGAGGGTACCAGATCTCATTACAGATGGTTTTGAGCCACCATGTGGTTGCTGGGAATTGAACTCAGGACCTCTGGAAGAGCAGTCAGTGCTCTAAACCTCTGAGCCATCTCTCCAGCCCCTTAAGATGTTTTAATAACATAGATTTTTTTCTTTTTTTATGAATATGAGGCATGTTTGATCCTGGCAGCACCAATCTACTTCAGAGACTATGATGGGCATTGAAGAAACTCCATAGAGCTTTGGCAAAAGTTAGCCATTGAGCAAGAAAGTGCCCTTACCTCGACTGCTGACAGTATGCTGCCCAAAATGGTCAAGCAGGACACAAAAGAAAGGATATATATATCCTTTCTCTCTCTCAGAGAGAGAGAGAGACATATAAACTTTCAGATTCAATGAAATTTGCACGCATTCCTTTCATGACTATTATCTAAAAGCTCACAGAGAATCCAAGTCTCCAGTTCCATGTACCCACTCTCTTGAACAGGGAAGTGGTATATCATGGAAGTTAGTATAATTGTAAATTTCGTGAGCTTTGTCGTTTCCACTGTAGCAAAGAGAATCGTGCTCACAAATCCCAACAGATAAATTGAAATATTTGATTAGATTATTTTTACAGGAATATTTCGGCAATAAGAAGATCGATTACAAAAAATCCAGGCTTATTCCATATGATCTAAAATACACAAAAGGAAAGACATCCACGGCAGAACTTCAGAGTCAGCTTTCTTTTCTTTTTCTTTTTTGTTTTTCAAGACAGGGTTTCTCTGTTTAGTCCTTGCTGTCCTGGAACTCACTTTGTAGACCAGGTTGGGCTCAAACTCAGATATCCTCCTACCTCTCCCTCCCTAGTGCTGGGATTAAAGTGCGCCACCACCGCCCAGCCGCCGGCTTCCTTATGAACAGCAGAGAAACTGCTCGCACCCCCGGTCCCTTCCCTCCCGTGTCCCAGCCCCGCAGCTCCTCTGACCTGGGAGGTTCCAGGGCCGCCGGGCTGCGGTTCCCGCCACTGCGCTGCTGACTGGTGACTTTCCCAGGCCGCCCCGCGCGGCGACTGCGGCTCCGGGGAGGTTTCGTGTCCCCGCGACACCCCGCCGTGTCCTCCGCACCCAGGTCTGCACCATGAGATTCCCCACCATGCAGGACCATGAGCAAAGGCCAGGAATGGTGCACCGTGCACTGCTGATCTGGGTTACTTTACGACTTCCCTGTGCTCACTTTGTGTTCCAGCTTCCGTTTACGTCACCACTAGACACCGGCCCACGCTCCTCTCTTCTACACCAGGCAATGTGCTGCATCCTCCCAGAAGATGTTTCCTGTTGAATGTCTCTGTCCCACTGAGACCCGTCCCTCCCACTCGGTCTCAGGCTGCCTTCCCCACAGCTCCAGCTGTCAGGCTGCCCTGCATCCACTCTGCACAGCCTGCCCACATGCTCGCTGCCAGCCTGGACCAGAACTGGATCTAGGAGGATGCTGCACCCCGGTATCTGACCCCTACAATGAGTTCCCAGCCCTTCAGATAAAAGACAGGCCGCCTAACCTTGACTTGATTACCAGATTCCTGGGCTACATACATACCTACACAAACGATAACAGGCTACATTCAAATGTCAGCGTCCGACCCACAACACAAACAAGGCAAGTAAAAACAAAATTCTGCAATTGTGCCTTGGGGAGAGACATTTCAGGAACTTTGGATATGAATAGAAATAGGTGTCTCCAGAAGTCAGTGGACTGAGTTCAGGCCTACTGTACTGCTGTCACCACTAGATGGTGGTCTTGTTATTTTACTAACTCAAACAAGTTCTTTTTAGACTAATGCTAAAGATACGTTTACATAAAATATAGAGAAACACTTTTAATGCACTGGTGAATGCAGAGACTCTTGCTGTCCCAGATGCAGAAAATAAGTAAGGTATGTGGTTCCAGCCCTAAAAATGTCAGTTACACCATCCATCTATGGCTCTGAGAATACGGAGGAGGAGGAGGAGGAGGAGGAGGAGGAGGAGGAGGAGGAGGAGGAGGAGGAGGAGGAGGAGGAGGAGGAGGAGGAAGGAAGGAAGGAAGGAAAGAAGTAGGGAAAGAGGAGGAAGGGCTAAGACATGCCATTCTCTAGACTCCACAAGTTGTAATCAGTAACCAACAGCAACTGTACCTTTGACCTCACACTAGACCACAATCAGTCTAGGAAAGGGAAAGACTCACAGGGCCCACACTTTACCTCTCAAATGGTGCAAGTGGATGCATTGTAGAAGAATCACTGCCTTTAGCTGTAGCCCTCTGCTGAGCCAACCAGGCTCCAAGAGATGACTCTGGTTTATCTCAGTGAACACCAAGCAAAATGAATGGAGAGGAACACAACAGAGATTTGCTGGAATTGTGGGCCAGGATAGTAGAGAGGTACGAGGTGAGAAGTGACAGTATTTGAAGCACACTCACACATACACACATCTGCATCACATGTGTATTTGTGTGTGTATTTGTGTGTGTGTATGTGTGTGAGAGAGAGAGATATGAGAGACAGAGAGACTATAATAGAAATTTTTTTAAATGAGCAAGTCAGTCTGTAGTTTCTCTTTGGTTATATCAGTATATGGTTTATTATCAGGTTATACTGAGAGTCAGGAATCTCCCTTTTTTGTTACAAGTATTTATGTAGTGATGCTGTTCTTCTTTGAAGCTCTGATAGAATCCTGTCAATCATGTCATTGGGTTGCATAGTGGGCATTTTATTACTGCTCCAGTCTCATTGCTACTGTGCTTACATATTTATTACAGGATGTTTAAATCTAATATGTTAAGTGCATCTGGAGACTCATATGTTTCATTTAGAGTTTCCAATTCAGTGGAATAGAGGTCTTTAATATCAGTAGAAGTAAGATGCATTCATTTACTCATGCCTATCAAGTAGGCCATGTAGTTACCTTTGGTAACTATTATGACATGATAACAAAACGTTATGTATAGTTTGCAAGGTTATGCAACCTTGAAACCCAGTTCAAAGCCAGCCTGGTCTACATAGTGAGTCTAGGACAACTGGAAATATGCAGAGTGCCTGTCTCAAAGCAACAAAAACTCCTCCCTGAAGAATAGTTTTCATGGTACCAGAAGCACCATGCAAGCTCCCAAAAGTGGAAACCAATGACCATTCTTATCCAGCTATGATGCCTATGAACCACACTAATGATCATCATGGTACAATAACCCTGAGGGCAGCAGTGGCAAGCATACCTTGGTGGTAACCAACAGCTCTCTAATTGGACTTTAAGAAATTCTTAACAAAAGAGAAACCATGACTGGTACTGGAAACCTGGCTGAATGCTCAGTGCTGGTGAAGTCATGAATCTTGGAGGAAAACCAATAACTACCACTTTACTAAATCAGCATAATCCCTAACAAAATGTAAACATTTTCCTTATACCCACAGATAAGCATTGTCTTCTCTTGTCATCAAGGAAAACTGTCTTTGCAACAGACAGAGACCACTACAAATAAACCACAACTATTCAAAATGAAGAATTGTGGATGCCAGGCCCAATGGATAGATGTATAAAACACTCCTGAATATAGGGCTCAAAGAAAACTTTTGAAGAAGAGGGTATAAAGATTGTAAGAGCCAGAGGATCAGGGAGTTTGCTGTGAAATTGTGTCTCCTTTTGTATTAGGCAGGGGTCTCTACAGTAATAGAACTGATAGAATGAATCTCTCTCTGTCTCTGTCTCTCTCTGTGTGTGTGTGTGTGTGTGTGTGTGTGTGTGTGTGTGTGTATCTAGGTATTTATATATGTATGTATTTAGATTTATATGAATGACTTACAGCCTGCTGTTCAGCTAATCCAACAATGGCTAGCTGTGAAGAGAAAGTCCAAGAATCTAGTAGTCAGTTCACAGGCTGCATGTCTCAGCTGGTCTTCAGTATATGCTGGAATCCCAAAGAAGTATGCTTCAATACCAGTGAAGGAATGGATGTGCTAACAAGGCTAGGGCAAGCAGACAAGGAGCAAAAGCTTCATTGTTTCCATGTTATTTTACAGACTTCCAGCAGAAGGTGTGGCTCAGATTAAAGTTGTATCTTCCAGCCTCTTGATGCTTTTCAAAGGCATGTGTCCTCCCACCTCAAGATATGGTTTAAAAGGCATTTGTCTTTCTGCTTCTAAGGGCTGGACTAAAAGTGGATTCACACACTTCAAACCAAGCAAAAATAATCTCTAACAGGTGTGCCCTTTATTTCTAGATTGTATTTCATTCCAGATGTAGTAAATTAGACAATCAAGAGTAGCCATCACAAGTCCATCATCCCTTGTCAACTTGACACACCATCAGATTCCTTATGTCATGATTAACTTCCAATTGAAAACAATAAAAGTGTCATAATAACAGCTAAACATAATAGATTAATCACTCAAAGAAAATGTTAAATTCAAAAAATTCTCAACACAAAAAATCCAAGAAATCTGGCACATCATGAAATGATTAAACCTAAGAATAATAGGGATTTTTAAAAAAGGAGAAGGGGATGGAGATATGGCTCAGAGGTTAAGAGCATTGGCTGCTCTTCCAGAGGTCTTGAGTTCAATTCCCAGCAACCACATGGTGCCTCACAACCATCTGTAATGAGATCTGGTGCCCTCTTCTGGCCTGCAGGCATACATGCAGGCAGAACTCTGCATTCATATTAAATAAATAAGTCTTTAAAAAAAAAAAAAAGGAGAAGAATTCCAGGTCAAAGGCACAGAAAATGTATTTAACAAAATCATTGAAGAAAACTTTCCCAACCTAAAGAAGGACTTGCCTTTGAAGGTACAACAACCTTATAGAACACCAAATAGACTGCACCCCCCCAAAAAAAAAGTCCCTTCGACACATAATAATCAAAACACAAAACATACAGAATAAGGAAAGAATATTAAGAGTTACAAAGAAAAAGGCCAAGTAACAAATAGACCTATCAGAATTACACCTGACTTCTCAATGGAGACTCTAAAATCCAGAAGGTCTTGGACAGATGTTTTGCAGACACTAAGATGATTTTGTTAGTGATGTAACAAATAAAGCTTGCCTGAAGGTTAGAGGGTGAAGCTAGCCACTAACTAACCACAGAGGCCAAGCAGTGGTGGCACATACCTTTGAACCCAGCACTTGGGATCTCATGCCTTTGATCCTAATGTGGTATTATTGTGTTCCCCAAAATACTGTGCACCCTAATAAGCTTATCTGGGGTCAGAGACAGAACAGCCACAATATTAAACATAAAGGTTAGGCAGTGGTAGCTCACACCTTTAATCCTAGCATTCCAGAGGCAGAAATCCATGTGTTCAAGGATACAGCCAAGCATGGTGACTCATGCCTTTAATCCCAGGGAGTGATGGTAGAAAACAGAAAGGCATATAAGGCGTGAGAACCAGAAACTAGAAGCATTTGGCTGGTTAAGCTTTTAGGTTTTGAGCAGCACAGTTCAGCTGAGACCCATTCTGGATGAGCACTCAGAGGCCTCCAGGCTGAGAAAACAAGACCAGCTGAGGATCCAGAGAGGTGAGATAGCTGTGGCTTGTTCTGTCTCTCTGATCTTCCAGTGTTCACCCCAATACTTGGCTCTGGGTTTGATTTTATTAATAAGAACTTTTAAGATTCATGCTACATCCTAACACTTGGGATCTATTATCTTTGATCTTAGCACTTGAGATCTCATGCCTTTATCCCAGCAGTTGGAGGCACATGCCTTTAATCCTAGCACTAGGGAGGTGGAGACAAGAATATAAGGCAGATGGAGAGAGGATCTCGCCCCTTTGGACTGAGGATTTGGTAGAGGTAAGACCTGTCTCTAGTGACTGGCTCCTTTACCTCTCTGATCTTTCAGCATTTACTCCAATATCCAACTCTGGGTTTTTATTATTAAGACCAATTAGATTTCATGCAACATCTGGCATCCAACTTGGGGCCAGGAATTCCCAAATAAGCCACTTGTCTGTGGAGTTGCTGCTACTGGCACACGCTGGAGCTGCATGCAGGGGCTCCCGCAGGAGTCACCACCTCACTAGCTAGGTTCTTCTCTCTATTTTCCCTACGCCTCTGAGAGAGTTTTGGATTGTTCTGTGAGAGCTTGTCTGCAGCAAACTCCACAGGCATTTGGGCTTCACAGGCCACAGGAGTTAGCCACTTCCCCATGCTTCCCCATGCAGATGGCTGGCTCTTTGGCTGCTTCTCTCCAAGTGGGCTGTGGGCTTTCCCTGAACCCCCTTCTTTGGCTGCTGCCAACTAAGGAGCTGCCTTGAAACCCTCTCAGGCTTCTACTGTTCTATGCAGAAGCAGTCAGCTTCACATTTCACCTTCATCTGAATGCATATACATTTAGAGTGTAAACGGAAATTACCCAACTGGACCGATGATGCTCCTAACAAGATCCACAGAAGAGCCATAGAATTTCTAACAAAACCACCAACACCAGGTGTAAGAAGCCTGCTTTGAAGATGTTGGTCACAGTTGTCTAAGAGACTTCCAAACATTACAGGGTATTGCTGTTGCTCATGGGTCCCTCCTAGAGACAGAAGTTGAGTCCCTAGTGTTGAAGAAGCCACACACTTCAGACACCAATCCTAGAGGACTCCAGATGGAACTGACCTTAAAGCCTCCTCCCTGGGGACTAGCTTTAATAGTATCAGAAAGCAACATACAACCTTCCCAAGGAAGGAGCCAGTCAACAGTCCTACCCAGCTAG